GCAGATTTGGGGTCGGGCCGCAGATTTGGGGTCGGGCCGCTAGGGGTAGCAGCGAAATCCCGAATGTTTTATTGGGTGCCGCCGCTTTTAAAAGAAAAGGCCATAAACGGGGAAATATCCCATAAAAAATCGGGGAAAAGGGAGCGGAGCGGGAGCGCGGCCCGAGAGAGTTTTGGGGGCGCTTTTGGGGTCACGAGTGAGGGGTGACCCCGAGAAAAAAAGGGGAAAAAATGGGGAATTCTTAAGAAAAAAAAAACCCATGGGGTTTTTGGGGTCACGAGTGACGGGTGGGAGGGAAAAGGGGGAAAAAGAGGAAATCCTTTAAAAAACCCTTCAGGAGCGATTTTGGGGGCGCGGGTGAGGGGTCAGAACCCGGGGGAAAAGGGGMGATCCCATAAAAAACCCCGGGGGCGTTTTGGGGTTTTGGGGACACGGGTGAGGGGTCCCCGCCCGAGGGAAAACGGGGAAAAAAAGGGAATTTTTCACCGTTGGGAATTCCCGCAGGAGCCCCGTGGTACCCGATGCACACGAGATCGCGGAAAAGGGGAAAAGGGCGTTTGGGGACCCTTTTCATGGGAAAAAAAGGGAAAAATCTTCTTTTTTAGGGAAAAGGGACGCTTTTTTTTAGGGAAAAATAGGAAAACCGCTTCTTTTTAGGAAAAGAGCGACGCGGGGCCGCATTTTTTCGGGGAAAAAAGGCGACGTGGGGGCGCATTTTTTAGGGGGAAAAAAACGGAAAACGCCATTTTTTTAGGGAAAAGGGTGACACGGGGCCGCATTTTTCGGGAAAAAGTTAAAAGGGCGATGCGGGGACGCATTTTTTCGGGGAAAAAAAAGGAAAAAGCGATGCGGAGCCGCTTTTTTTTAGGGGAAAAAAGGGAAAACGCTCTTTTTTTAGGGAAAAGGGCGATGCGGGGATGCTTTTTTTTAGGGGAAAAAAGGAAAAGAGCGATGCGGGGCCTCATTTTTCGGCGAAAAAAGGGGAAAGGGCGATGTGGTGCCTCATTTTTTCAGGAAAAAAGGAAAAGGGCGATGCGGGGCCGCTTTTTTTAGCGGAAAAAAGGAAAAGCGCTCTTTTTTTGGGGTAAAGGGCGATGCGGGGCTGCATTTTTTCGGGGTAAAAAGGGAAAACGCTTCTTTTTTGGGGGTAAATGGCGATGCGGGGCCTCATTTTTCGGCGAAAAAAGGGAAAAGGGCGATGCGGGACCGCTTTTTTTTTAGGGGAAAAAAGGGGAAAGACCTCTTTATTTTTGGGTAAAGGGCCATGCGGGGCCACATTTTTTCGGGAAAAACCGCTTATTTTTTCGGGGAAAAAAGGAAAAACGGTCTTTTTTTATGGAAAAGAGCGATGCGGGGCCGATTTTTTTAGCGGAAAAAAGGGAAAACGCTCTTTTTTTGGGTAAAGGACGATGCAGGGCCGCATTTTTTCGGGAAAAAAAGAGAAAAGAGCGTTGCGGGGCCGCTTTTTTTCGGGGGAAAAGTTAAAAGAGCGACGCGGGGCCTCATTTTTTGGTAGAAAAAAGGGGTTTTTTTTCACCGTTGGGAATTTCCGCAGGCGCCCCGTGGTACCCGATGCACACGAGATCGCGGAAAAATGGGAAAAGGGAGTTCGGGGACCCTTTTCATGGGAAAAAACGAGGAAAAACTGTTTTTTGTAGGGAAAATTGTGACGCGGGGCCGCATTTTTTCAGGAAAAAAAGGAAAAGGGCGATGCGGGGCCGCTTTTTTTAGGGGAAAAAAGGAAAAGCGCTCTTTTTTTAGGGAAAAGGGCGATGCGGGGCCTCATTTTTTCGGGGAAAAAAGGTTTTTTTTTTTTCACCGGCGGTAATTTCCGCAGGCGCCCCGTGGTACCCGATGCACACGAGATCGCGGAAGAAGCGCAAACCCTACTCGAAGCTGCAGCTCGCCGAGCTGGAGGGAGAATTTTTGGTGAACGAATTCATCACGCGGCAGCGGCGCCGGGAGCTCTCGGACCGCCTGAACCTGAGCGATCAGCAGGTGAAAATCTGGTTCCAAAACCGCCGCATGAAA